TGCCTTCTCTGCTAGCTACTTCACTACCTTGTAGTACTAACTTGTGGAAGATCCACCTCCACTAGCTGCAAACGGAGGTAATCCAATGGCTTGCAATACTATATTTGAAACAAATGTCAAATAACAAAGTTAATTACACAACAATTAGTAGAGTAAGTATTTAAAAACAAATATCAAATAACAAGTTACCTGCATCATATTCCTTTTCTTGTTCAGATTCTGGCATATCTTCTTCATCATTTAAAACAATGTTATTGTTGCTTCGCAACCAATCACCACCACAAATCAAAGCCTCAACCATCTGGGGAGCCAAAGAAGTTCTAAAATCATTTAGAACCCTTCCTCCTGTGCTAAAAGCCGACTCGGAAGCAACAGATGATATTGGAATAGCTAATACATCCCCCATTCTTCAAATTTCTCCCTCATATGGCGTACGGCTACATCATTAGCCGATGCATTATCAACCGTGCAACAAAGAACATTCTTCAAATCCCACTCTTCCAAACACTTCATCACCGAGTAGGCAATGTCCTCCCCTTTATGACTAGTTATCTTCTTGAAGCATATGATCTTCTTATGGAGCTGCCAACTTTTGGAGATGAAATGAGCCGTGATAGTTATATAATTATCATTCTTCAACGATGTCCAACAATCCGTTGTGATTGAAACCCGACCCATGCCTTTCTCCTTGAAGAATGACTTCAAGCTATCTTTTCTCTGAATAAACAACTTTGCACAATCTGCCCTCACTGTCCTCCTACCTGGAATTTTGAACATAGGGCAAACACGGGACATGAAATGACGAAATCCCTCCCTTTCACTAAACCTGAAAGGCTGCTCATCAAGCATGATCATTTCTGCAAAAGCTAACCGCGATTCTTCTTGATTGAATCGCCAAGTTGATATCTCTCCTGCTCCTTCCATGGAAGCACCAGGTTGGAAACTAAGATTTGATTGTTTTAATAACTCCATATGTTTCTTGTCACAAGAGAACTTATGGTTCTTCAAGCCATTTGTGCCATGGTTGCTTGAGACACCAATGATAATTCCACAACGATTACATTTTCCTTTTCGAACCCGAACCGGAGGTTGTCCTTCTATAGCAAATAACACTGAGAATCCAACCCAATGTGGCGATCGAAGGGCAGGTGCTTTCCGCTTTTTAGACACTGATGCATCCAAGTTACTTGGATCACTACTCACAGCATTACTTGCTTGATCACTTTGAGGTCTTTCGGCTTCATGCTCTTGAGTAGCCATCAAAAATAAGAAAACCAATACAATCTGCCCTCACTGTCCTCACCAAATGCAACTTGCTCTAGCTCCACAAATCGGTTGTATCTCTTCCCTGGAACAATGAAAGTAAAAGGAAATTTGAGCAACAGAATAATAACAGCCAACTACAACATTTGCTTCCCACCCGACTGAAACAACAAACAGCCTGATTAAAACAACAATAGCAGCTTTGCTCGTCTATTCTAGTGGGGGTTTGGTGACTGGTGTTGATTTTGAAGCTTAAACTTTGGGATTGTTTCATTAATAAAAGCAGAATTTTATTATGGAAGTAAAGTGTGGAAAAGTGGCGGAAGAAGGGAAAAAAGTTCATGTCTTTACCAAGCTTTGCCATCTAATTACTACCTAATCTTTTTATAATTGTGCAATTCACATGATTGTTTAAGATAATGACGTAGTGTACCATGGGGATGGAAAGTGGGCGCAGCAGTAGTTGTTGTTGACTTGTTGTAACACACCAGCAGGAGGAATGCCAAAACAGGAAAAACCCAGAATCCCAAAAGGAGAGCTGTCGATTTGTGAGCAAGAACCAACACGTACAACAATCAGTTGAAGTAGAAGAAGCCGAAAGTAACTATAACCAAAACCCCCAAATATGAACCCCAAAAACCCATAACGTAAAAGACGAATCATCAACAAAGTTGTTACCTGAAAGTTGTATCAACGCAGACTCTCTCCTGCGGATGGATTTACGAAGCTCGCGAGTCGCGTCCCACTCTCCTTGGCGTCAACCTAATTTTTAGTCGTCACCGGTCAGCCCCCTGTATGAACGCAGACTTTCCCACCAGCAGTCGATGGATCTACGTAGCTCGCGTCCCTCTCTCCTCGGCGTCGACCTACTTCTTAGTCATCGCCGTTCAGGCCCCTCTTGAAATTTGATCTTGAACTGAACTACTGTAGGGTGAAGGGTTAAGGCAGAACCACGATGCGAAAGCCAGAGCGAAGAAGAAGAAATAGCATTTTCAGTTTTCCACTTTTCCTTTTCGAGAGACCAGAAAATAGAAATGAGAATTGATTGTTGCTGGGTTGTATCAAATCAAAAGAGGATTTAGTTATTTTTTTTGGGCCTGTCTTCAATTTCTTACCGTATGGGGTATGAGCTCTTGGGATCCAGATGACAGATTTAATGGGTATTATGGGTACCCAAAATACCCAAATGGGATTTGCGGGTAACCCACGGGTACCCGATCTAGAAATTGTTCATCCCAAATCCCATCCCGTAGTAAATAATACGGGTATTACGGGTACCCATAACCCTCAAAATACGGGACGGGATTGGGTGTTCCCAAATACCCGTTTCCCGTTTTCCACCCCTATACAAACATACAAATAGTACAAACAAGAACGACTAAACATACAAATAGATTACAAACATTCCAAACATATGAACTGTACAAACAATACAAACTACACCGACAAACAATACAAACCATACAAAGAAAACAACCGGGTTGACTTTGGGAGGCCCCTCCCAAAGTCAACCCGGTTGTTTTTTAGACATACAAACATTATGAACACAGTGGACAAAAATGACAAACTAGACCGACAAAACATACAAACTAGAAAAACACTCGGGTTGACTTTGGAGACTTCATCTAGGGCTGAGAAACGGTGCGGTCTGGTCCAGACCAGACCATATATACGGTCTATGGTCCAGACCGAGAGGCTAAAATATAGACCACAGACCAGACCACAGACTATACAGTCCGGTCCAGACTACGCCTGTGCGGTCTGGTCTGGTCCAAATAGACCACACTCAACGAAAAATGAATAATTTGTTTAGTCAACCACACAAAAAATTGAATCAATAACCAAGAAAAATAATTGTTATTTGCCTTAAAACATTAATCCTAACATGCATGAATAATTTTGATACTCTAAATCTTAGTACATAACAAAGATACAAAGTATAAACATTCAAACTTGCACCATAACGTCATAAACATTAACATAATGTCACATGGAGACACTATTATCTCTACTCTCTGGTTAAATGTAGTTGTGAATGAAGGAGGGAAGAGATTCACAAAATTAAGGTTGAGACTTGGGTATCGTTGTGGGAGTTTGGAGAGTGGTCGAATGGGCTGTTAACACGTATTGACAAGTCAGTTGGGTCCACGGTTTGGTCCGGTAAACCGCGGTCTAGACCAGACCAGACCAAGAGATTAAATCATAAAATAATACAGACCATAGACCAGACCAGACCAGACCATACTTCATGGTCAACGGTCCGGACCAAACTGTGTGATACGGTTTAGACCACGGTTTTTCTAACGGTCTGGTCTATTTTCCCAGCCCGAACTTCATCCCTATATAGAGGAGTTTCATCCAAAAGTCAACCAAGTTGTTTTTTAGTCATAAAAAAACATTACAAACATGGTTGACAAAAATGGTGCACAAAAATAACAAAGCTTAAAACATTACAAAATAAACCGACGAACAATACAAAACATACTAATCGTACAAAATGTCACTAAAAAATGACAAACAAGAAAGATAAACATTACACACTGAATTAATACAAACATTACAAAATATGTCAACAAATATCACAAATCCAACACTATCGCCGGAAAATCCTTCTCCGTCTTCGCTGGCAAAATCTCTCTCTCTCTCTCTCTCTCTCTCTCTCTCTCTCTCGGTAGCCCGTCGGAATCCAACAGGGGAAAAGCCCGCCGAAATCCAGCAGTCGCCGTCAGCCGGAGGTGGAATCGAAACAGCGAAAAAACCCGCAAGCAGAGAGGTTTTTTTTTTTGTAATAATTAATAATTAAATAAAACTGGAATTACTACATTATCCTTAATTAAATGAGATCAATTACAACCATTAGATTTTAATGAGACTGAATGAATGAGATTGACTTAGTCATGTGACTAAGGGACCCCCCTAGTCACCTGATCTTAGCCCGCCACTTTGATTGGTGAACGGGGAAGAAGAGATTGGAGGAGAGAAGTCCGGGAGTTTAGAGAGATAGGTGGATTTGGGGGGATTTGTATGGAAAAGGAGTCAAAGTGGAGGACGGGAAATAAAAGATTTTTTTGGTTTTATCTTTTTATTATTATCTTAAGGATGTGAAAATAATGAAAGAATTAAATTAATTTTTATTAATTTTTTAATTGCCACGTCAGACATTTAACGGTCAACTGTTAGGGTTGACTGTCACATTAGATAAAGTTAACGGAGAGTGACTAAACGTGATTCGTTTTACTAATTCGAGTGACCGACATTTATATTAATTTTTTCTAGTGACTAAACATGACACATTTTAGTAAACCCAATGACCAAATGTGGCATTTGCAGGGGTGGAGGTTTATGACCAGATGAATTGGAAATGGCTATGGAAGCTTATCATCCCACCCAAGGTATTTACTCGTTTGGTCACTCGCTTTACTAAAATGGGCCAAAATAAGGTATTTACTGTCTGAGTATAAAGCTAGCAAGGTAGTCAAACCGGTTTATACCGTTGCGCCGGTTTAGCAAGTGGAATGGTACGATTAGTGGTACAACCGATTTGTGTCAGTTCATGCTGGCTTAATAAAATACTACAATCCAAATAAAATAACAAATACTCATATTTAAATACAATATTTAACGTCAATATATAAACATTTATACCTGAATCCAACAAATTACATGAACTTTTAACTTTCATATTCATAAAACATATAATAAATTCATTTTTTAACAATCAAATTTATTAAAACATCATTTTACTTAAGAGTTCGTGAATCGATCATATCGATGGTATTTATCTCGATTTCATAATCGACACCGATTCAACCAGCTAGCATGTCATCAATATGACAACCATGAAAGCTAGTTACATAAAGTCCGGATAGGCCAGCGATCCAAGCCTCACAACTCCCTTTAGCACGGATTAAAGTGAAGCTCTTGAGAACCTCCACCAAATTTCTACCTAAGACGTGCCTTGTTTTTCCAGTTTTCAGAGTCAAATAGTAACGCATTGAAACTGCCCATGTCTGCAAATTGGCCGGCCCCCATCCCAACGTGAACAAAGTTGGTTGTTGCAGATTTCATTGCAAGGCAAGCTGAAGTACTTTCGGTGCAGCGGTGGGCTACAGGATCCTACATATGCTTACACTAACGAATACAACACAAACTCATGAGCAGCTCAGCAGCTGAATTCTGGAGAATCGATCCTCACAGTCAAAATCTCACTTACCACAGTAGCTGAGATGGGGAAGAAGGGTGGCAGATTGTCCAAAAAGCCTATCTCAACCAAATCTTCACTCTGCTACTGTCACTTTCCTTCACTCTATTTGGGAATGCACTTGAACCTGAACCCACTGGCTTTCCCCCTCTAGAAATTCTTGCAAATGCTCTAGATGGGTCAAGGTGCCTTGCTTTGCTTGGTTCAGACTCTGCAGAAACTGGCTTCTTGTGAGCAGTGGGTGTTACAAGAAACAAGTTGTTCTCTGGCCCTTTGCTTTGGAGGTCTCGTTTATGCCTCAATGCCCGCAACGAATCTGTACCTTTGAGCAGTATAGATTGTTCCCCCCTGTTCAATAATGTTCCACTGCTGGTAGAGTTCAAGCTCCTGAGGCTGAAGGGATCTGCTTCTATTTTTAGCGGTTTTGCTTCGACTTTTCTGGCTTGGAACGTGTCCGTTGGTTCTGAAATGTACATGTACTCCCTTCCTTGTTTTGCTTCTAACTCTTCTTCCAGCATTTTGATCTGCATCGTGGATATTGTTAACAAAAAGCTTAGAACTTGGCCAGGTGATTACCTCTGTTGTTGTGTTTTCAGTTGGTGTCCTTCTTAAGTAGAAAAGCAATGACAAGCACCTGTTTTTGAAGCATTTCCGTGTGACGTTGAAACTGTTGTGATTTCTCCTTCACTGCGTCTTCAAGCTCCCTGGTCTGTGTACAGAAACGAAAAAACGTAAGAAACCCATCTCAAAGGTTGAGAATGCTTGTAGAGTGGCGGAGGATTGAAGAAACGTTGAACCTTGGCTTTAGAATTGATGGAGCTGGCTTGCTCTTGTTCTTGCAATCTGTCCTCTAACTCCTTAACCTTCAAAAGAACGAGCGGAAAGTGAGATAGGATTATGAAGTTCAGAAATCTTCATGAAATGAGAAGAAATTTCAAGACCGTTGAAAGGTTGCTAAGATGATGAAAGAGATAACCTTTTGCTGGAAACTGTAGCAAGCTTCTTCCTTTCTCTGCATTTTTTCATATACATGTGACAACCGTTTCTCTAGATGACCACATAGCTCTGCTTTCAGTTCAACTTGGTTTTCAAGATCAATTATCTTGTCTTGTTGGCTTTTGGAAAATTGCTCCTTGCTTTTCGTCTTCCCTTCCAGAACCTGAACATTCTCTTCCAACTTGCGGATAGTATCATCTTTACATTTCAACTGGCAAAGGCAAAAGGGTAAATTTCAGCTCATTCATCAAAAGATGATTCTAAGCTAATGTCACAGAAAATTATTAAGCCGTACCATTAATTTCAGTTTTTGAATCTCAGTCGTATCGCTCTGCTTCTTTGCAGGACCTAGCTCGACTCCTCGAACCCGAGTGGCGAAGTTTAGAGAGCTCACTGTCTCGCCTAAGTCATGCTCCGAAGGGCTTATTTGAACAAACATCAGGGTTTTCGAGTCACCACCTGTAGCATATTATGTGGGAAAGCAATGCAAAACCTAGATCACATCATGAATTTCCACTAGACCTCACAAGTGTAGGTTCACGATACATTGGTCCATAGTCTTTTTAAGAGTTTGGATCATTATCGACTAACCTAATGAATCTTGGAGCAAATGTGTAAGCTTCGAGTTCCTGAAACCAATTGTAGAGATCAGCAACATGCAAGTAGCCAAGCTGTAGGCATTTTGGGTATCTTAACAGAAGCGTTAAAAACTAAACCTGTATGGGATATGGCTGCTTTTAGTTGCAAGAGCAGAGATGACATCTCCAAGAGCAGAAAGTGATTTGTTGATACTCTGAGCTTCCTTTAGCCTCTCTCCTTGAACGTCTGTCTTTGCGAGCCTCTCGCTGCCAGCCAAATCGACAAGCCATAGCTTGCTCCTTGTGCATTCTCCAGTGACAAGGTTCTTCGCTCTTACCACTGTGCATATCATGCTACAGGAATAGCAACATGATGACTTTTCAGCTACAAATATCAAATGTTGTAACTTATGAGGAAAAATATTCCAATATATAATTGCACTAACCAGTGTGAACGGCTGCTGTGTCCATTCACATTGTTTGATCCTACTGCCCTTGCATTACTTCCAGTTTGCAAAATGTTCCAAACTTCATCAACGTTCTCAACTTTCATGTCAACTACTCCTGGCACATGATTAACCCCTTCAGAAACTTGCTTGATCTCCAACCTGACAACCATCAGTTAGGAGTCAAATCCAAATTACGCAAATCAGTGATTCTTTCTTAGTTTTTGATGAAAAATGCTTCATTTCACCTCTTTGCCGGTGGTGAGGATGCCAGCAAGTCTCTGACCTGTTCATTGTAAACTTCAAGCACACTAACAGATATGTCATATGAGATGGTTTTTTTCCTATCCTCCGCGATTTTGAACAGCAGTTCTAGTGTTCGGTAATTGACCCCTCGATTCTGCTCGGTGCCTTCCATGGTGAAAGTCTTCCCAGTTCCAGTTTGTCCATAGGCAAATATGCATACATTGTAACCATCTAACACAGATGTTGCCACGGGAGAAGCATCCTCAAAAACATCACCTGTATTAGGTAGAACAAAAGTTTTATGTCATTTCCCAAAGTTCATTAGAGCCAATTGATGAGATTAACCAACTACAGACCACATGGATATGCAATTGAAAGGGTTGGCATCACAGTATAAGCATGCACATACATTGATCATCCTTAGGTGTGTAGACTCGATCAAATTTGTAGATTTTCTTGTTTGAACCATTCATAAGCACACCAAGATCCCCATCTTTAGCATCAGTGAACTCTACTACAGTTTGAGGCCTAGATGATGCTTCCTCCATGTTCAATGGGCGGCACCTGCAGAACACCCTTATGTTCCCTGCAAACGTTAGGCTGCATCAGGACAACAAAACGAAAATAGAAACTTGCAGATGCTTAAAATCACATTTGTGAAAAAAATATACTACAACCTTTTGATTCCAACAGTTGGTTGTACAGCTTCTTCCTCCTTTCCTGCTCTTCATTGAACTTCATCTTCAGGTCATCATATTGACCAACTTTACAATTGCAGCGATTAGTGAGATGTGTTTTCAGAGGGCAAAAACTATTGGTGTATAAATACTGTTACAAATTTCAGTTACCTAATGATTGAACTGCAGTTACCATCTGGTTCAGCCCAGGAATTGAATTGGCGCATTGATGAGCTTCAAAAGACAGCTGAGAATGTTCCGACTTTATAGCCTGGAGTAGATTATCAAATGGTAAGATGAACACAATTGAGTGTGTGAAAAAGTTGAAAGCTTTCACATCCACCGGTTTAGCTTTCTTTACCTTCATTTTCCTTTCTAATTCATCAATGGCTGCAACCCACAGTCTCCTATCATGTTCATATTTACTAGAAATCTTCGCCATCTTTTCTGTTTCCTTTTCCATTGCTTGACCTAACCAGCACATAGATTCAATCGATGAAAATTATCCTTAACCATAAAAAACCCCACAGAAAAAACCAGTTCCCACATTACCTAGAGTGAAATTTTGGAAGAACTTAACATCAAGCTCAGCCCTGACCTTCTCTAGCTCCTGGTTCGCTGCAGTTAGTGACATCCAAGCTTCGTAGCATTCATCTTGCTTCATCTGGCACTGAGCTTTCAACTCCCTTATCTCCCTTTCATATTTCGCTGTAAAACTCATCCTCGCTGCCTTATTCTACAGAGCGTGACCATGTTCCAGGATCAGCATGAGTTTAAAAAGAAACACTCCAACACACAATCTCAAACACAAAAGCACTGAAATTCCAACCTCGGCAGCTGTGAGTTTGACTGGGGCGAAGCAATTGTCACACAGCAGACTCTTACCATCCCTTCCGCTTGATACCACTACAGTCAGGCAAATCATCAAACAGGTCATGGGTCATAAGAAATTATATGATCAGAGCAGGTTTTAGTCGAAGGGAATGAAGAAGGGCCGAGAAATAATCACACTGTAATTCTGGCGCTCCTTGCTTTATACAAATTCCACTGACTGTAGGACTTCCTACAACTCCTTGGAAATTCACAGAAACCACTCCATCTTTCCCAGCTGAAACTGGAATGTTCATCACCTGCAGGGCACGGTTTGCTCCAACTATAGAGTACACGTCGAGCTCAGACACAGCCTAATAATATTTGACGAACAAGAGATCAGATAATAATCACTATTCACACAAATTGCTAAAAATTGGGTACGGAGAAAGTTTTCTTCCATGAAAGGAACAGAATTTCACTTGCCTTTTCGTCCTGAATGAAAACATTAAACACCCTCATGCCTCTTGGCCCATTCGTGTACACAATCTCAGCGAAATGGAGATCGACGGAGTAGTCTCCCGGCGGCAAGTCTCGGAACTCGTAGCAGAAGTTGCCGCACCTCGCCGACTGATAAATCGACGGCAAATCGCCGCCGTCGGCAACTTCCTCGTCCGTTCGCAGAACATCGCCTCCTTGGAAAAACCTATCTGTTTCGACCTCAATTTCGGAGTGTCCTTGTCGTCTCAGCTCTTCGCCGCCGGCATTCACAAAAATCACTCGTCTCTCTCGTTCATCTAAACAGAAGGGAAGTAAGAAACTCGAGCTCCTACGGCTACTGAAATTGGAAGCTGAAAATAAGCGAAATTTCATGAACTGTTTGCAGAAACCTGAGGAGTGTGAGGCGATGAAGCCGGACCTCTTGATCGAGGAACCAGCGACGCAGATCAGAGAGTCCAACATCGGGTCTTCGCCGGTGTCGGAACCACCGTCGCCCATATTGACCTTTTTTTGTCGTTTTTCTGCCGGTGTCGACGGAAAGCGGGAGAATTCCGGGTTCGGACTGAGTGGTAGAATAACGGCGCCGGAGATTCAGCCCTGTTGTCTTCTTCTTCTTCTATCCCTTTCTTGAAAATTTTCTTTTGCCCTTATTTTGGGAGCTGCCTGCCTTGTTATTTTCCCCCCACTTTCCTTTGATTACCGACATTTCAAATTCAAAAAGGTTAATACAACCGTTAAATTATTAGGAATCCTGGCTGGTGACAGGCTCAATCTTGGCCCAGGCAAAAAATGGGCCGTATGCCAGATGACGGCCCACATCTACGACCTGGATCAAAGTTCCACCATCTGAAACTAGGGGTGGAAGTTTGGGTTACGGGTTGTGGTTGTGGATAACCCGCAAATCGCATTAACTCGCACTCATTGTGGGTAGTGGGTTGTAGGGATGGCAATTTTGCCCATACCTATGGGTATTTTACTATCCAACCCAATTGGGTTGGGTATGAAATCCAAATATATGGATATGGGTAAAGTTTGATGGGTTTGTACCCATACCCATTTACTTTGGGTTGGGTTGGGTTTATAACAAATGGATTTGGGTTTGTACCCATGCCCAAATACAAATTACAGTTTGGTACCAAAACTTAATAGATATGCATATTTAGTACCTAAATTTAATTTTTTTTGCATATAAGTCCTCAAAATATCGATGGAAAATTACGTTTTGGTACCTAAATTTTTTTGGTCTTACATTTTGGTACCTAAACATTTCAAGTTTTACAAATAAGTCCAATTTTTGCATGTGAAGTTAAAACACCCTCAAGTAAATGGATATCCATATCCAACCCATACCCATTTAGATAATATCCATATCTAACCCAAACTCATATACAAACCCCAAACACATACACACATCACCCAAACCCTACCCATAATAAACTGAATTGCTATTTATAGCCCTAACTTTTTCTTATTTGTAGCCCTAGGAGAATATAATTACTATTTTACCCTTCCTTCCTTTTAAAATATTGAACTTGTTACAACTCCAACCAAACACTCCCTTCCTTTTAAAAATAATATTAGAACAAATTTTTCTAAACAATATGATAATTAAAATATTCATAAAATAATGAACTATAATAAAATCAGTAAATGTTCTTAAAAATCTAAATTATTCATCAATCTATTATAAAAAACTAAAATAATAACTGAAAAATCTAAATTAATATCTATTTAAAAAATCTAATATACTTCACAAATTTAAATTAACAGAAAATTAAAAATAAAATAAAAAATCGGCGACGTCCCGGCAGGACGTTCGTCCGCCGCCGGCGACGTCTCGGCAAAACTTCCGGCCGCCGCCGGCGACGTCCCGGCAGGACGTCCGGCCATCGTCGTCGGGTAATTTGCCGGCGTACCTCGTCGGAGAAGGGATTTGTCGCCGGCGGGAGGTGGCTGTCGCCGGCGGCGAGTATTGTAGGATTATGTTTGGAAAAGTGTTTGAATGTTTTGGTATTGGAATGTGTGAAGTAAATATATTTAAATGTCATGGGTATTATTGTACTTTTTATAATTTAGGACTACAAATAAAGATAATTTAGGGCTACAAATAGTACGCCCCATAATAAATGGGTCTACTTTGGTTTGGGCAAAATTACCCATGGGTGGGTAAATTGCCATCCCTAATGGGTTGGGTGTGGCTAGTAAAATAATGATTTTTGTAGTTAGTAGTTAGCCACTAGCCCACTACCCACTGCGGTTAACCCACAAAATCCACAATAATTTTATTTATTTATTGAATTAACTTTATATTATGATGATATGTGAAAATTGAGAGGCTAAAAATTAAAATAGCCACCAAAATCAAATACACACCTAATCGGTTTTATGTGATAATCTTTTACTTTATAAAACACTATAATCGAGAGAATGGAGAATAATCGATTCATCAAAAGTGAACACATTTAGTAACTTTTATCTGTATGTTTTTGCTTTTGTGTGAAAGAAAATACCAAACTTGATCCCACCCCGAGTCGGTGAAATATGAAATCATAGCTCCCTGACACAAAAGTTGAATACCAAACTCGAAAAGAAAAAATCTCCATGTTGAGTAAGATCGATATACAAATTGTATCTCCACGAACAACACAATTGTATATCACTCTAATCTAGCTACAAATAACAAATACGTTAGTGGAGGCCTCAACTCAATCCTTGCAAAGATGAATTTTTGCGGGTAACCACACCCAACCCGCACCAACCCGTAGTGGGTAGTGGTTACCCACTAACCACTACGGTGCGGATTGTGGGTATCATAATTGTAAATTTGTGGGCGTGGGCCTCAATTTACACCCCTATCTGAAACTATCAAGGTTGTTAAACCCTTATCGGACCCCCGTTGGATCCGGGCCGACCTAAGTTGAGCTTCAAAACGGCCTACAGAAAACCCCCCGGTCTGACCACTAAAGAGGGAGAAGAAGAGAGAAAGAGGAACAAAGAAATGGAGATGGTGGGTGGGTCATGGAGGTTAATTATGTTTATTTTGTGGAAAATAAGTTTTTAATAGATACATGTAAGATATATTTCATTTCAGTTATTATATCTTTGATTACGACCTTATCTGTATATATAATTAGAAAACGTCTATAATGACTCAAACCGGTCGAACCACAATCAGACCATTAAACCTCAAACCCCTTACTTGACCGGTTTAATAACTGAAACCGGTTTGACAACCTTAGAAACTATCCAACCGATGAACCCCCAATAAAAGCTCCCTTCTTCCCTCACCAAGACCCAATTTCAATCTTTTTTTTTTTATAATCCCATCTGTAATTTTGTTTATGCTCTTAAAACGTCATTATCCATAGACCATATTACAAATCACATGGCCATATTATGGGTTGTATGGTTGCCCTCCCTCCTTACAAAAGCCCAATCAATGTCCCCCATTCTTCTAGCCTCCTCAATAATCTCAGCGACCACAAGTCCAATTTCTATGTTGGTGCTTTCCGACCGACAACCTTGGAAACTATCCAACCGATAACCCCCAATAAAAGCACCCTTCGGCCCTCACCAAGGTCCAATTTCAATCTTGGAAGCTATTGTAACTTATTTTCAATTTTCATAAATTTTTTCTAAGTTGTTTCCAAGTTGTTTCCAAGAGTAAAAGAAAATTTGAGATAGGATCCCAAAGTTATCATGATACATAACTTCCACAAAAACTTGGATGGTCCATCTTAAGAGGTAGAGCCAATCAGCAGCTTCCTTGTTGCCATAATATCATTTTCTTCCCGAACTTTGTACTAAAAAACTATTTTTATATGAACTTTAAAACGACTAAACTACTTGGTAACTCAAATTACATAAATTTTTCACATTTTCCACCCGAAGTATTTTTTTCTTATTTGCCACTAACTTTACGATTATTTCACCATTGTTCACCATCCGTTAGTATTCGTTAACTGTCAAAATGGTGTCAAAATGCGATCAAAGTTCTTCTCCGCTATGGCGGGGTGGACCATCAACTCCGTTCTTGAAACTTCCCCTACTCCCTATCCCTGCACGCCAGCTTCTCCATTCTTACCACACCCGCCACCATCTTCTTCTTACCACCGCCACCTCCGTTGTTCTGGCCTTCCTTATCGCCGTCGTCGAGGTCACCGGAGCCTCCTTGTTACGTTATCACCATACCCCATTTCAAACCATTTAATAACCATCGATTTCAATTTCAATTGGAATTAAAACTAAGCTATTGAGCGAATCGATACTTTCAGGGGTCGTTTGGATTGAGTATTTCGGGGTGTTATTTGGGGTCAAATAACACAAAATCTGTTATTTGACCCCAAATAACATGTTTGGCTGACAAAAAGTGAGATGTGTTATTTGGATGTAGTGTTTTGCCAAATAACAGGTTTGAGACCAAATAACACAAAAAGTGTTGTTTGCCAAATACTTGGGAGGGGGCAAGTATTTGCCAAATAACAAGTTTGAGACCAAATATCACATACCATATAACAGGCTTTATATTATGTGGTATTTGTGTGGTAATTGGCCCCAAACAACATGTTTGCCAAATACTCAATCCAAACAACCCTCAATTCCTTAATTGATTCATCGATTTGAAGAAAGGGCATTGACGGGATAGGCCATGGAGGGGGTTTGATTTGAAAGAACACTTAGACAGAGTATGAAAAACAAAACATGATGAAAGTAATCCGACAATTCACGTACTACCATACATGCTCTAGAATTATGAGCATCCATCAACCAACTACCCTACAATAATTAAACTAAAATAATTGAAGTAAAGTAGTCATATGCTAAACTTCTGGTCATTGTTCCCGCCACAACCACCATTGTTGTTGTTCTTCTCCAGAGAAACTCAGGGAGTGAGAAGAAAGGAGAAGGCGAAGGTGAATGGGTATTTAAATACCTGGAGAGCGAGAAGAAAGAAGTAGACGAAGGTGAATGACTGAATGTTCATTATTTTTAAAATTTTTAATTTTTTAAAATTGACATGTCATTAAATTAACGATATATCTGTTTGCCACGTAACAAAAAAAAAATAACGGAGTTAATAGAGGTTGACGGAGACTAACGGCCGGTGATCAATGGTGAAATGAATCGTAAAGTTAGTGGCAAATAAGAAATAAAAATAATTCGGGTGGCAAACGTGAAAGATTTATGTAATTTGAGTGACCAAATGTGTAATTTACTCACTTTAAAACATTAAAAATTTTCAAACTAAAAAAATTATTGGTCTATTTTGACAAGATATTTTGTCACCAACAAAAAAAAAATATTTCTCCAATATGCGGATTGGAATTTTTTTTTTTGCCAAAAGTTCACTTGTATTATCAAGAGAAAGAGATACCAATGTTTACACACCACCTAAAAGCCAAACCAAAAAATCAAACCCACAAACTCATATAGGAAACAAAGAAAGAGTCATTTTGGCCACCAAATGAGCCGCTCGATTGTTCTCTCTGCCTCGAAATCCAACCGAAAACACTGTGAATAATTGCATGAGCTGGGATATCTCTTCTAAGATAGCTCAACCTTTTCCATCACAAGTTTCGTGATCCCTGATTTTGGAAATAACAACTTGAGCATCACCCAGGATCGAGACTTCTGTAAGACATTTCAAAGAGCACCATCGAAATGTTTGTCGAAAAGCCATTAACTCACTCACATATGGATCCGTCAAACCTGCATACATAAAGCCTTGCACAAATAACACACTCCCCTCTTGATCCCATACCACAATCCCACCATAGGCATGGGACCCCATCCTTACCGCACTATCAACATAACAAATATAAGGCATTGTGAGACTCCTCTCCAACATCCTGTGTGCTATGATAAGATTACCCACAACCCTGGGTCCAGGCAACTCCACCCATTCCTTCACAGATTATAATATTGACGTAGCAATGCATCTGTAGAATATTGGAAATGATCAAAAACTACCTAGTTTCTAGATTTCCAGATCCTCCATAACAATGCCACTATCTGCATTATCCTGTCTAGTTCTACGATCCGCTAGAGCATACGGCGAGAGACCAACGCCATATTCATCCCTTCCAAACCTTATCGTTCTCCCACCAAACCACTTTGTATCCGTAGTCTTCAGCCACCCTGCAGGTCAAGAATAGATGCTCTATAGACTCTAGTGGACCCCAAAACACCGGACATCTAAATGGTCCTACTCCACCCTTCTCGCTCAATGCTTCCATAGTAAGCAAAATATGACGCATCAATTGCCACAAAAAAACTTTTGTTTAGGCGAAATTGGGAAACTCCACATCTTCTTCTAGTAACTCATATCCCAAAAGGACACTTCGTCCTTCCATCCTGACAATCCTCGCTTAATCTGGACCGCAGTATGATATCCTGACTTAACATAATAGCAACCATCAACCTCCTTTGCCCAAATCAGCTTATCCCGAACTGGATGTCTCGATAAAGGAATACTCATTATTCGCAACTTCACCTCCTTCAGAAAACACTGATCCAAACAGTCCTCACACCAAGACCCCTCCCCCGGAATAATTAAATCACTCACCATCGACAGCTCATCCAGTGGTGCTGAAGCCAAAATCGGCAACTCTTTACCAGCAAAACCCATAACCCATGAGTCACCCAAAACCCGAATGGCATCACCCGACCCTACTTGGTAGTATAACTCTTTTCTCAATAGGTCCCGCTCACATAAGATACTACGCCATCCCCACGAAGGACACGAACCCTCTCTAGCATCCAGAATACCCCCTGTGAGAAAGAGTTTTCCTTTTAAGACTCGAGCCAATAAGCACTCTGGTTCGTGCAGGATCTGCCAGGCCACCTTAGCCAACAATGCCTGATTAAATTCCTAAAATCGTCGAAATCCTAATCCTCCATCAAATTTACTCCGACATAAATTTCTCCAGGATAGTACCTAGTGTGTCTTGTTCCATTCCGGAGTATAACCCCACCATAATCTAGTCATATATGTTTATCCAATTTCGGGGCAGAGGGTCACTGGTAACAAAAAGCATGACATCACATGAATGGGTAATGATATAGCCACAGACTTTATTCGCAGCCTAGGATTGGGTTTGTTCTACGAAAAGAGCGAAAAAAAATTGAAATAGATAAATAAATTAATTCCTTACTTTTTTTTGTTAAGGGAGAGTTATTTTTGTATTTCTTGTTGGCGATATGCCATCCACATTAGCCATAAATGATGAGTCACATACGGTTAGTTTTAATATATTTTTGTTGGAGACTCGACGTCCATGTCAACCCCAATCGATGAGTCACTAACGGTCAAAAAGAAAGATTGTTAAATACTTAATTTGACCGCCACTCCTTCCACTCATTTTCTCCTCCGCCGCTAGCGTCGAAGTCTATGTCTTTTTCGCCATCTCTGCAGCCACTGCCCCTGTCTCTCTACCGCCGCCTAATGTGGCGGCTATAACTTTGTCGTTGAACTTTGTTATTTTCATGTATTATGTGTACTTTGAACTTTTTTTTATTAACATGTGCTATGTGTACTTCTTGAACTTTGTTATTTTCATGACTAATAAAAACTAGTGTTATTGAAACATGTTGACTAACTACAATACAAGTTTTGTTGAAACGTGAAATACAATCACATATCGAAACTTGAAATTTCAAACTACCAAGCAACTTGAAATACAATATACCATTAAACAAGACTAGTTATTACCATGCAAATTTCAAAGATGCTCAACCAAGTCATTTCGAAGCGAATGATGTGTTTTTGAAGAGCAAAGCCTGTTTTCTAGCCAAGTAATCAAAGTTTGAATGTGTAGGTTGACTGGTTGAGGTTGTTCACGGACCTCATAATCAAGGTCATCTTCCATCTCATCGTCATAATTAACTTGCTTATCGTCGATTATCATGTTGTGAAATATAATGCATGTCAACATTATATTATTAAGTTTTTCAACATCTCAAGCTCTCGAAGGGCCATGAATAATTTACATCTTATTTGGAGGATTCCAAATGTTAGTTTTACGTCTTTACAATAAGCTTCTTAATGTTTAGCAAACAAAACCTCTTTGTTTGACCTTGAATTGTTGAAGGTATTCATAAAGTTGACCATGAGGGATAAATACTGTCAGCCAAGTAATAGCATCAATCGTAAGCATGACCATTTACCTCATATCGTACATGTGGAGCGCTTCAATTGACAATACAATCAAACACCTTAGAGCATTTATGTCGTTTTTATCCAGGTGACTCGAAGAAAGCATGTCATATCCATGTGTTATATGAGGCCACCGCATCAAAAATGATTATTGGCCTATGCATATGGCCAGTGTATTGTCCTGCCCACTTGGACAATTCCTCAATTCCCAATGCATGTAGTCAATTGATCTAATCATCCCAGGAAAGGCATGACTTGAGACTTTACGAAGTAAGATCCTTAAATCAGCAGAAGCTGATTCGCGAAAGTATGTGGCCTTGTATATTTTGATAATGTTGTTGCAAAAATTCATAAAGAAAGACATCAAGGTGCTCTCACCAATATGAACATACTCATCAAGTTGATAAGTAGGAGAACCATATGCTAGCATGCACATCGCACCAGTAAGCTTCTGCTCGGGAGATAGTGATACTTGACCAAGGCCATCATGCCTTAGCATAAATGAGGGTTCAAACCTCCCAATGTCACCCATATTGCGATGGAATAACCTTGGCTGCATCAGATAGTGCCTTCTAAATATGCGAGCATTGTATACTTGTGAGTTCGGCTTGTAGCTTGATGTCGACCTGATGAACCTTCAGCCAGCCTCCGGTCGATTAAACTCAAACGTAGGTGGTGATATCTTTCGTACTCTTCGGTTTGTTCACGTTCTCCAGACGATGAGCTATTTGAGATACTCATGATGAATGTGTTTGTTTTAAAAATGGGGAGAAGTTTCAGATAAGTTGATGACAAATGAAAAATGTCATTTATAAAGCCGTATGCTACACAAAATGGCAAAAAATGATCTTAAAGTAACGGTTATAAAAAATGATCACATTTGGAGTGGTTCCTAAGTTAAAGGTAACAAATTAACGATTAATTTTCTGAATGTTTTTTACTAAAAAAATTACATCAATTTTGTTTTTCAAAATTAATAGCTAACTATAAAAATATTAAAGTATGAATATAAAAATTAGAGGAAAATAAATATGACTTATTGAAATAAATTGAAAAAAGAGGTGGAAAGTTAAATTTGGCTTTTTGTAGAATTGAAGTAAAATTGTATTTTGAAAAGTTAAAAATTGTATTTTGTAAGAGTTTGAGAAGATAAAAATAACTTATTAAGGTTGGAGTTAGTCTTAAAAGAGTGCTAGTATTAATGAGTGTAAGCCCCTATTTGATCACGGTCCAAATACCATCCGTTATAATAATCCAGTCTCCTACTTATCCTAGTCACATTGTGTGAGGGGCATCCGTTCCTGATTCATTCCTTTTCCTCGTACTTAAGTCAAACTAGATTACCCATTCAATTTCAGTTTGCTATTTGTTTTGTTAGAAAACCAGAGATTGCTCTAAACTAAAAAAAATCTCGAAACTTTAAAACTATATCATAGATGATGATACTGGAAAAGTAAGTGATATTTGATATTTTATGTTTACATTATTATTGACTTATTATGGTTCTATCATTTTATATCGATAAAATTATATACTTATTTAAATTTCAATAGAAAACTTTTGCATAGAAGCCCACGTCAAGAATCCTTAAGATAAGACGACTCAGTTAGCAGTGTTCAGCCCTAGATTAATAATTAGTTCATTAATTAATAAACTAATTATTAAATGATAGTGAGCTAACCCAAAACCATGCTTGGCAACAGTAAACCGAGCAGAATAGAATAGTTTCGGTTCAACCATTAATCCATACCCACTGCTAGGCATAGAATCCTGATCAAAAGTCCAAACCGACCGACCCATATCCATCATCCCAAAACAAAGCCTTTCGCTTCAACAACCAAACGTCAAACCATCCCAACATAACAGGCCAAGAGTTCCATTAACAACTACTACGACTCCTACTACTTTGATACTTTGCTACTCCACCGAGAGAGATTGGAAGCATGTTTTCGTCAGAATCAAGCAGACAGCACCCCTCCAGACGACGAAGAAGAGCCGCTGCGGCATTCAGCCAACATGTCCATGTACACCTGGCACTTGCTCACGTCCGTCCCAAAGTTGTTCAAGCACTGCAGTTCATCAATCAATAACACGAAGCAATGAGTTTTAGCATGAGGCGAGAGATTGATTCACCACAGCTACATTGCCAGCAAGAAATCACACGCGGATCACGAATCGATCCACATGATCATCAATAATTACTCACATCTTGCAGAGCCTTGGAGTGCAAGCCACAAGCATTGGCGTCGGCAGTAGGAGCAGTCTGCTGCGGCGCGGCGGCAACAGTTTCCTGCCTCACGGTTCGAGGACCAAAGACAGCATCCACAGCCCTGTGAGCGATTGCAGTTCCAGCTCCCCAGCCCAGTCCTGTCATCACACAGGCAATTTCACAGTCAGGTTCTAGGCATGTGATTATTATTATTATCCTGGCGAAATTGATTATTATCGGAGATCAACTCACCATCAGCAATAGCACCTCCGATTCCTCCCAGCACAGATCCGGTGGAGCTGGACTTATGGACCGGATGAGAAGCAGCTACAGTAGGGCATTCATTATCAGCCAAACAAAATATGCGATCGAGGAAACCAGCACAAGTGTGTAGCCAAATGACAAACAATCATAATACAGCACACTTCAAGCAAAATTCAACAATGCGACTACACATACGGTAAATCGTAAGGAAATCGCGAGGCCTTCTTCTCAAGAGCATGTAATGATCGTTCAACATTCACTAGCTTAGCTAACAGGTTTTCCTAGCAAAGCTTAAGGACTAGGATATTCTCGGAAAAGAAACAATCGCAAGTTTGGTTCAGATAAAGCGAAATCCATGAACTAGAGGATAACCTTTCTTGGCAGGAGGTTTGCTGAACAAAGAACGGGAGCCTGAAACGCCAGAAAAGAGAAAACGGACATCAGATTAGCGCTAAAGATTGTACGGCCAGCTGCTACACTTCAGCGAAACCCTAAGCAATCTACCAACGCGACTAGAGAAAAGGTAAGACATACAACAGATCTCGTCCATGTAAACAGAACGACGCAAAATCAGAGTGAAGTTCGACAATCGACAAAAATCACAAGCAATAATCGCACAGTTTCCATCGCGAGGAAGCGAAATTTTCATGAGCTTCCGTACACACATACACCAAGATCTAGCGAAAACGAAAACAGATTGACTCAGATTTTCTCTCCAGAGCGTACATATGAGTCGAAAACAGACCGCATTGTAGCTGACACGCAAGAGTAACGCAAGGACAAGCAACGAGACGAACGATAACTAGTGAAAGCAGGCCATGGAACGGAGAAAGCTCAGAGGAAACCGGAAGTTCAACGAAGAAAATGCTTCGGGTAGAAGATTTACCTCCGCCGGAGCTACGGCTGCTGCTCTTGCGACCCATGGCGAGACGACCAGGTGAGAGAGCAAACGAAAGCAGAAGGCGATCGGCGGGAAAAAGGCAGTAAGCTTTCGGAAGCGAAGGGCGGCACAAGTCAATGAAGAAGGTGGAGGGCTAAACGGGAGATATTTATATTGACTGCTGTTGAGTTGGGGGCATAAATGAGAAATCACGTATATTTTCTTGAAGAATAAGCCAGCCAGCTGCGATTTTCACCTTTTTCTCAAAAGCTAGCTCGGCTAATTAGTTTATTGGTCCACGTGTCGTCAAGAACCGGAGAACCATTTTCACTTTTTCAGATTTATTTGTTCCTCTTCTCTTTTTAATTTCTTGGGAATAAGGATTACTATGGATGTGGGTTATGCATTTGCATTCAATTTGAACATTAATTGGAATGAGCTAATAGTATTTTATATTTTTTTACTGTTGAAAATTAACAAATATATTTCTTTATTTTTTTCCACAAACATACCCTTATATTATCTATACATAACCAACCTAACCTTTCGTTAACTACTCCATCCATTCCGTGACTCGCAAGTAACTAATTTGCCCCTTTCTTTTCACTTTTTAATTCACGACACGCGCCGCTTGATCTCCATTAGACAGTCTCGTAAATTTTTGTTATTCTAAATTTGCGAGTCCTACCAATTTGGAAAACACAGATGATATTTGGAAGAAGGAATCAAACTCTTCTTGATTTTTTTACGAACACAGTTTTCAAGAAACAATTATAGATTTCTGGACGAGAGTCCAAGGAAAGACAATCAAATCAAATAAGGTAAAATGATAGACCCAAAACATGTAAGCCCACCACAAACCAGAAAGTACACAAGAATGCTCAAATTGGAGGCCCACACGGAGGAAAACCATTCCTAACCCTATCTAAAATAAAACCCACAAAGAGATCGTTGTCGCTGCCAAGAAAAAAACTTGGCCAAAACCAAAAGAAGCTGCCAACCAGGAAAATAGGGAAACTGAAATCCTAGCAGAGACGAGCCATGGGTGAAGACAAAACAACACCCTCAATAAGGTGACAACCATCGAAGGACTTGGCAGAATCCATAATCAAAGCATGCTACGATGTCTGAGTGATGAGTCTCCATCTTCGAAACCAAGAACCGCATCCGAGGCTATTCACAAAGGAAGACTACTGCATCTCCATATCATCATGATCTATTGGATGAAACAAGGAGGTAGATGAAAAATTCAAAGAAAGAAGATTAGTTGGAGAGAAATCAACAACCCCCTCTTCAATTGGACAAAAATGCTTAAAGCATCCAAGATCTGGAAATGAGAACAAAACTTGAAGGAGAAGAGAATCATCTCAATAGACAGAAATGGAAAAGACCCACAAGGGGACATGGAAGACCCACAAAGGGGAATGGAAACAGAAAAGTAAACCGCAGAAACGGAAAAATGAGCATTTAAAAGGAAAGACGAATGGAGGGCCGCCACCGGTTGCCGCCGACAGCAACTCAAGGAGGAGTTGAGAAGGGACTTTTAGAGAGAAGAGAGAGCGTTTTGAACTCTAGAGAGAGAACAGGGATATACCCATAAAACAATTAACTCTTCTTGTTAATGGTTTGAAAGTTGTTATTGTTAGATTTGTATTTATTGAATACATGTATTGAGCACAATACAAAAAAAAAAATTGTATTGTTTTGTGTAAAACAATGCATGTATTGTTTTGGGAAAAAAATATTCCACATATATCTATACTAAGGATCGAAGTCCACACCTTGAAGTGGTTATGAGATAAGAAAATTTTGTCACTACACAACAACTCATTTTGATTCTTATATTAACATAAAATTTAATCTATTATTTTGTAAACAAAATTCCCATTTGGAATAAAATCATAATCAATCGAGTTTATATGTGTAAGTTTATTTACTAATAAAATTAGTTTTGATTCTATCTGTTGCAATTGCAAGTGTAGAAAGAGTATTTTAGTTTTGCGCAATATTAAGAACAAACTACAAAGTCAAATTAACAACCATTTTGCTAATAATTGTTTAGTGAGATACATTGAAAGATACTTACTTAAAAGAGTAGATAACGAATGTAATTTGCGTTTCTTTCATAATATGAAAACGCGTCGTGATTGTTCATGAAAATAATGATTATGTAGTTGGTTACAGATTCCCATAAAAAAAAGGGCTAATACCACTACAACACCCGAACTATCGCGAAAATGCCACTTGTGTCCTATTGTTTCCAATATTCCATCTGTGTCCTGAACTATGATTCCGTTAGTGTTGACTTTTGTTGACCGTTAGTATTTAACAGAAAAACCAGTCAGCATCTGACGTGGCATGTGACTTAAAAATAATTAAAATAAAATAAATGAAAATAAAGCCTCTTTCCCCTTCCCTTTCCCACCTCGTCTCAGCGACGGATGCGTCCCCTCCGGTCACCATCCCCGCTCTCGTGCCAATCGCCGCTCCAACCATCCACGACCTGTCGGAGCTCACCATTCCCTTCCCCAGATTCGGGTACCCCTTCACCCTCTCCAGCGCCTCCTTGATAACCACATCTGCCACTCCTCCTTCCTTCACCAATACTAAGAACTCCCACTCTCACTCCCTACCTTGAAGCATGAACCCGCAACAAAATGGTGACGATGGAGGTGGGATGAGCTTAGACTCCAAACCAATTTCCCTCTACAAAAAGGCTTGGGAATGAGTGGGAAGTTGGAACTCTGGTCAAATTAATTTCTAATTCCAATCACTAAGACCCCAAATCCCTAATTGCTGCAAGCTGAAGGGGTTTCGAGGATCTGGTGGTTGCGCCATCGATTGGAGGTGGAGGCTGCTACTCTGGCTTCTGGGAAGTCAGACCCTTGGTTGAATGGGAGGAGAGAAGGGCCAGGGTCGTCGGTGGCCGTTGGGGGTTCACAGGGATTCGAGGAGGATGGTCATCGCCATCGATCTGGGGAAGAGTTTCCTTGAATCCGAAAAATTGCAGCAGCAACAGTTGATTTTGGCGTGGGATTCCATCCGACCATTGATTTTGGGGGTATCACTTGAACAAACATGAGATTCCATCCGCGCGACGGTAGTAGATTTTCAATTAACCCCATTCTCTGGGTTTCGGCCATAGTAGCGGCACAATGAAAGATTGGCGAGTTGGGTTATCTTTCAGAGAGATTCTCAAAGCCGGATTGGGAGATTTTTGGTGAGTTGGCGAGTTGGCGGTGTAGTAATGGTTTGGCGGTGGCGGCGGGGAGAAGAGTGGAGGCGGCGGTGGCCTCGGGTTCTCGAAGACGAAGCCCGGCGGGATCGTCACGTTCTCACCGCGGTCGCCGAACTCGTCCTTGTAGTACAGGAGCTGCCGCCGGCGGAGGTAGGAGACCTCAGCTTGAGTGAGTGTTCCATGGCTGGAAATGGCTGGTGGGATCTCTGCAGCAAAAGTGCCACTCCAATGGGGCTTTTCTTTCGAGTTCTTGCTTTGATTTTCCTCTCAAACAGGAGCCAAAGCTTGAATCTTTGGCAGAGAAGAAGAAGAGTTTTTTATTATTTTGTTTTAAAATTTTGGTTTAATAACATAATTGAATTTACATTTTCTTTAATTTCAACTCATTTTTTTTATTTAATTTGAATTAAAAAAATATTAGGTCAATGACGTGGCACCTATGTGGCAGTCTCGTTTTTTGCCACGTCAACAAAAGTCAAATTCGCGTTGACCACCGTTTGGTCAACTGTTATCTTTAACGGTCAACGAAATTGACAGGATACAAATGACACAAAGTATCATAGTTCAGGACACAGATGGAATATTGGAAACAATAGGACACAAGTGGCATTTTCGCGATAGTTCGGGTGTTGTAGTGGTATTAGCCCTAAAAAAAATTATTATGTATTTGGTTATTTCTGTAATAGTAAAGGACGGAAGACACGAGGGAAATTCGTTCAAGGTAAAATGATTCGGGGGCAAAAAAAAAAAAAAGAAGGTTGTTCAAAATTTCAAATGGCTTCTTTTTGGAAGATAGACTTGGGCAAAAAGCTATTCGTTCCAGAAAAGAAAAGTAGCTCGAACCAAAGGTGACAGTGAGGCCCCCCTGTCGGGGGGGGGGGTAATGAATTATTTTGATAATATTAATTTTCATTATATTTATTTATATTCTGAAAGATAGACATAGATAATTTCATATCCTAGCTCCGCCACTACAATAAATGCATATCATAAACTAAGGAATGCGGTCCAAGATAAGTGAGTAACCATAGGATTTGGGCCATTGATTTTAATGGGGCTAGATCTAAGTGATGAGATTAAAAGAGTTTTTATTTCCAACTTTTTAAATTGCTTTTATCTTCTTTGTTTTAATTTGGATTTCAAAAATTTATGCGCAGATAGAACAAGTTCGTTGTGATCTACAAAACAATATCCATTTTCAATATATTTTGTGTGAAAAAAATTGCATACCACTCATACTACTCATTACCACTCTGGTACAACCTTCATTTTTAACTCCAATTTGGCAAATTTGTGTTCAGATGGGACGAGTTCATGCCTTCATGGTTCTTTATTGAATCTATAAATTTCTAGAAGAAATAACTCCAAGACAAAAAATACGGTCATGAAAAGTGGTAAATGGTCATTAGTATATACCCACTATCATGTATACATCCATTCTACACTCTGAAATATTCATACCACCATGATACACTTCAATACCACATGACATAATCTTATCCTTATGTGCTACAAAGCATTACCACATTTATGAACCGGTAATAAATGTCTCATTTTTGTTGTTCTAAAACATATCAAAGTGGATTTCATTTTGAAGAGAGATTAATTGTGCAAATGAAGGAGAAATTGTTGGCTAAAATCCATTAGTGAAAAAGTTTGAGGTCTTCCATAAATAGTGTGTAGGATTATGCATGGTTAGACCATTTTCATCTCTCACCTTCACCAATTGCTAAGGTAATGTGACATTTTGGTTACCAATTGCAAGATTATGCCGGGCATGCAAAATTACTTTCTAATTTAGCAAGATTTCTAAATGAGAAATTTCACTAGCATTGCCACCTAGGATATTTTTCTTTTTCAATTACTTTTTCTAGCAACTCCAATATAATGTATTAAGAAATTGTATGGTTTCC